GAAAACGAATGATACTTTACTCAGCTATTTTAAAAAGATGGACTCAAAACTGAAGCCGGAAACAATAGAAAACATTGAAGAATCGCTCACTGAGGAGCCCGACGAGGCCTTTGCCTACCCCGACTTCCTCCCTGCCCCCTTCCAGGCGCTCGACTTGCACAAGCTGGCCCTCTCCAAGGCGGAAAGCTGGAGAGCAGCAGCGGCGGACCCTGCGGAGAGCTCCGTCGAACCTCTGATCACGCGGTTACTGGAACTCGAGAGACTGCAGCACGCAACCATACAGAAGGAGAAGCTCAGGGTGCAGCCCGCTCTCTGCGCACCGACAGCTCCCGAACAGCCCTCTGCATCCAAGGCTACGCCCAAAGGCAGGCAGCCCAAAGCAGCTGACCCGCTCAGTGCTCAGACGTCTTGTGCAGATAAAAGCCGAGAAAAAAGGAAGAACAACTGTGGCTCTTACAGGCTTGAGCAGAATGCTTCCAAATGGAATTGGAGCAGTTCCGGCAAATGGAAATGGGATTCTAGACCCACCTCCCTGAAAAGCTCATCCACCACGAGACAGCTGACTGCCTGTGATGACCCCAAGAGTCTCAGAGGTTCCCTTTTAAATCCAGGCCAAGGACTCGCCGCTAAACCCACGCTTGCACAAACAACTCACTCGCTGGTTACAATGGTCTCCACAAGGTACCTGCCACCGAGGTCTCCAATCCCTGTGTCACCTGTACCTCTGACTTTCCCCGAAAATCCGAGGGAAGACATCGAGGCACCACGGACTAAAAATCTCCACCGAAAAAACGTAGCATTGAATAGACCATACTATATTCAGAAGCTAAACTGTCTGTCCACGTCATTTATAGCTAAGAACAAGTGCTCACCCATTGACCAAAAATAACCTGTTCCGCCGGCCGCCGGCCCGCGTGTGTGAGCGAGGAGCCCTGCTGAGACACCGCTCACTTCAAGGCGCAGGTTCGAAACTCAAGCAGAGCAGAGCGGAACCGCACAACTGCCGCGTGACGGAGGCGGAGCAGAAGCTGTGAGAAGCCGCGCCGAGATGTCTCCACGCGGGCGTCCGGGCTGACATCTTTCGCCTGTCATGTTTCCAAGAAATGTTTTCCTTGGTAAACTAAATTATTCTGTTCAAAAGATTGTCCTTTTGTTGTGATGGTTCTCCAATATTATTCAATCATCAATAAATAGTACATTTGATTTATTTCTGCCGCGGCTGTTCTTTTCGTTGTATTTTAGTCTTAAGGAAGGGCAGTTATCGTGGGATTTATTTTATAGTTTTCTGCTTTCTTCTCACATCTCTAATCTGTGCGGTGGCTCAGCTGGGTAACCTTTCGCCTTGGAGTGCTGGCATCCAGTGTGGGCACCAGTTTGTGTCCAAGCTGCTCCGCTTGTTATCCAGTTCCCTGATTATGGGCTCGGGTCCTTGGGCACTTGTGCCCATGTAGGAGACCTGAAAGAAGCTCCTAGTTCCTGATTGGCTCAGCTCTGGCTCTTGCAGTCACTTGTGGAGTCAACCGGCAGACAGGAGATCTGTCTCTCAATCTTTCCAATAAAAATAATCTTAAAAAATAAAACAAACAGACAAAACGCCACAGACCTGCACACATTGTCTAGGCATCAGGTGGAGGGGACTGTCTCCATCCTTCATCGGCCTTCGGTGAAATTCCATATTTGGGCTTAAGGGCGGGTGAGTTAAAGGGTAACGCAAATAAGTGTTAAAGAGAGTATGTTTCTTTTCCAACATTAATGAAAGAGTAGGGCTCAAGTAATCTTAGACAGGGATAACAGGGTATGCTTGGCTTGTTTTTTGTTTGTTTTTTCTAGTTGATGTTTGCATGGCCGATCAGGGTGGGAAGGATCTAGCGTTAGGGAGAAGTGGGTGTGATCATCGTTCCCAAGCTTTCTATTTCTTCTTCCCATTTCTGGGGGCAGGGGAGATAGGGGGGTAGGCCATACCCAGCCTCCCAATCACCCCAGTACCTGAGGATGAGGAAGGGCCACCCGATATCAACCCAGGGTCACAATGGTGCATGTTCCGAAGGTTCTGCCCCAGTAGATGCGATAGTTTTGAAATGCTGTTGATCTTGCCAATCTATGGATGAGGAATTCTTTCCAATGTCCATTGGCTGACACCATCGACCTTATAGTCTCCAATCACCCAGATATTTGCTGTCATCATTTGGTTGGGGGTAGTTGTCTGTATGTTCTGTTCTCCATTCTCTGCTATGGTACCAGATGTCCTCTGCAGGCCCAATGAGCTACCATGTCCTCCATGTGCACCATGGTCTGCCGTCCAGCACTCCATCCTCTACACTGAGGACCAGTTCTCCTAGGTGGGCTCATGGACCTGAGCCAGATGACCTGGGCCATGCCGGGTTCCCCCTGCTTGCCCTCAGGCTCACAGGTCCAGCAGCCACCACACAGGCAGGCCCATGGCCCTGGACCATGAGACCCAGACCTGCCAGACTCCCTACCCCCGGGCTCACGGACCTGACTCCCATCACCCCCATCACTGATATGGCTCATCTTCCTCTGCATCCATCAGTGGGTACTTCAGCCTAGTTTGATCCAACCTGCTGTTCTGGTTGATGCTGCAGCCTAGCTTTTCCCAGTCAGCCCCCAGTCCTGCCTTGTCTGTAAACTGGCTGGTGATGTGGCCCAACTCAGCCCCTCCTGCACCCCATCCTGGTTCTCAGATCTGCCAGTGGATGTTATGAACTGGCCTGGCGTGCCCCCTGACCTGACCCACATGTATGCTGGTGGGTACTGTAACCTGGGCTGGGTTGGGCTGCTCCTTGCCTTGGTTCTTGTACTTACCTGCAGGGACTGCAATCTGACAAAGGAGTTCACCAAACTCCTCTATCTGGTCTCCTCCCAGTGGCAGATCTTGCACATACCAGTGGGTCCCTGACCCAGGTTGACTTTGTCCACCTGTTGTCCTGGCATTAACAGTGTCCTTGTCCAGTCACCACATACCCTTTCTAGTTCTTACCATTAGGTATTGCAGCCCATCCATACCTGGTCCATACCCAGACACAGCTCTCACATGGTTCAGTGGGAGCCAAGACCTAGCCCAGCCCATTCTACACCCACCCTGACTCTCATGAGTACCAGTGGGTGCTGGAGTCTAGCCCAGTCCAGCCCTCAACCCAGGCGACACCCGTGCCAATGATTGCAACCATGTTCAGTCCAGGACAATGCACCAATCCTGGCACTCACAATCACCAATGGAAATTCCAGCCCAGCCTGGGTGTCCCCTTAACCTTGCAACCAGGCCTATTCCCAGTCACAGTTCTTGTGTGTGCCAATGGAGATTGCTGTTCCACATGGGTGAGCCCGCACATTGCTCTGTAGATTCTATCCCAGACCTGATTTGCTCACATATGTTGGCTACATGACCCAGCTCACAGAACCTTCCTTTTCCTGATGCTTTCTGGTGGGTTCCATGTTGTAGCCTTTCCAGAAGAGTGGCCTTATCCATGGAAGTCTCACTGAAGTCATTCCTCACCTGGACTTGACCCTAAGGTTCTTGCCGATCCCCACTTGCTCCATCTCTGATTTCCTGTTAGGCCCACACCCCCAAGATCCCAGAGCACATTGCCTGCCCGGGTTCCCCCAGCGCAGCCAGGTGGTTGGGAGGGTTGAGCACCTGAGCTCCTCCCACCAAAACGGTGGTGGTGGGCTGAGCAAGGGTCCTGTGTCGGCCCAGATCTACCTGCGATCTGCCCAGCTGTGATTACTGTTGAGGGACAAGCTCAGGATTTGCCCACTGCCTTGCAGTAGTGGCCTGAGCTAGGATCCGAAGCACTGAGCCTGGCTCAGCCTGTGTTCCTCCAGTGAGCCGTGTGGCTGGGTCGAGCCCTTGTGCCTCCAGCTTCAGACTCACTTCTGTGCCTGTTTTTTTTTTTTTTTAATTTTTCACATTTTATTATTATTGCTATCATTTTACGATACAGTTCCATATTCCCTTATCCCCTCCCCAATTCCCTCCCCCCCCCAGTTCCTTTATATCATTACTAACATATAGTTCTTCATACTCAGTCATATGTTCATCATTGCAGGCATGGACAATGTGTGCCTGGTTTTTAAGTTAAGTAATTTCAGAGAATTTTCTGGGGCATACCAACAAAATAGAATAGTGTTTTCCTGAGTACATTGCATTTTTACTTGTGTCTCAATGGGATTCTTTTTTTAAAATTTATTTTTATTTTGAAAAATATGGAACGCTTCACAAATTTGCGTGTCATCCTTGCACAGGGGCCATGCTAATCTCTGTATCATTCCAATTTTAGTATATGTGCTGCTGAAGCGAGCACCTCAGTGGTAGTATATTGTTCTTATAATAATGTAGAAATATATTTTGCTTCAGTTACAACTCATTTAACTATTTGGTTCCCATTAGCCATTTTTACAATTCCTGTAACTTGAATCCTAAACCCTTTTAAAAATGACCAGTTTTCTGAATTTGTTCTACTGTCTTTATCAAGGTGCATTTTACCCGCTCATCTCTGGAGCGCTAAGGATAGAACTGCATTTGTAAGATCCTGAGGCAGACACACTTGTCTTACCACTGCATCCTGGCACTCCGCTTCCTCGGTCTCTCCCTCCCCTTGCCTGCCCGTTCACGTCTGAGAGGCAGACAGATGGATTACTCTTGAAGCACGTTCAACAGTCAGCCATGGGCCAAGCCCAGGGTGTAGTTAGTAGGAACGCAAGCTCTTGCTTATCATCCGCTACCTCCCAAGGTAGCTCATGAGCAGGGTGCAGGATGCCCAGCCAAGCACTCCCGATGGGCAAGCAGGACTTCCCAGCTGCCTTCCATGCGATAAGGTGAGTGTGAGAAAAAGTGCCTGGCATGTAGCAAATACTAAGATAAAACAGATTAACCAAGGGGACATACCCCAAATGAGCTGCTCTGGCACTAACCATTACTGGAAGAACAATTTGCAGGAGGTTAACGTCCTCCTTGAAAGACAGGTGCTGCTGCAGAAACCTGGCATGCACGGCCTGCAGTTGGCAAACAGACTTCGTGAGGCCTGAAGTGGAAGTGGCCCTGGCTGTTCTGATGGTTACATTAACTTGGCTTGCTCCAAAATTCCAGTTTAGCTCTCCAAGACTGGCATTTCCCCAGAGAGAAATACCTAGAACTCTGGGAAGGCGGCCACCCACAGCCACTGCCACCTGACCCACTGGTTAATCCGTCAGGAGCGCAGCCGAGCAGCGCCTCCTACTGGAGGGTGGCTGCAGCTGGGCTGGCGTGCCCCACCCATTCTGTCTGCTCCCTCCCTCCTACCCAGAGGCCTGCTGCGCCAGCACACAGCTGCCCAATCCATCTTATTCATTTGCTTTAGAAATTGAAAGCATTTCTTCTTAATGTCGATGGCCTTCAGATAACACCCAGCACTTTTTGTCAGGTTTCCAACATGGTAATGATTAAATCATGGAAAAGGCAGTTAGTTGATTGTTTCTTTCCCCCCATTAGAAAAAACAGCAAAACTAAATCTAACAGGAATACTCATAATAATACACTCGTGGAAGCTCCCCTCTATACCTGCCCCTGTCCTGTTGGGTGGAAGTTCCCCTCCATACCTGTCCCTGTCCTGTTGGGTGGAAGTTCCCCTCCATACCTGCCCCTGTCCTGTAGGGTGGAAGTTCCCCTCCATACCTGCCCCTGTCCTGTTGGGTGGAAGTTCCCCTCCATACCTGCCCCTGTCCTGTTGGATGGAAGTTCCCCTCCATGCCTGTCCCTGTCCTGTTGGGTGGAAGTTCCCCTCCATACCTGTCCCTGTCCTGCAGGGCGCAGACGCCCACTCAGCTCTCTGAGAACTAGCTGAGATCCCAACTTTACCCCCCAGCTCCCGTCATACCAAGCACAGGTTACTTTTCCAAATACATCTACTTGTTTGACACTCAGACATCTGAAGAACACCAGTCAAGAACTTGAAACAATGTAAAATACCAAACTCACTCAAAGGAGAACTCAGGAGCCAATGTGACTAGAGGCGTGTTTTATTAAGTTTCTCAAAGGTTTGGGGGAACATGTGTTGTTGAAATTCTAGTTACAGTTCCAATGATACTATGAACACACAGGATACCACGGCAGCGTCCACATCTTGACCACTAAGTGGAAAGGTTCTTCAACAGTCCCTTACCCTAACACAGAAGGAAGAGAAAAATTAAGGATGCCACAGGATCTAGCAATCAAAACTGGAGAATGCTCTTAAGTTAGTGTACATCAGATTGACATGTAAAACACAGATGAGCTTGTGACATTCTTAAGGAAGCCTAGCCATCTAGCAGAATGACAAAGTTCCTGTTCAATAAATGCTGAAACTAGCATACTATCAGGAAAGAGACACACTGATTCAACCCAACTGCTCCCATCAGCAGAGCCTAAGGAGGGGACCATACGCTGACATGTAAGGCTGCCTTCCTAGCCTGGCAGCTGGAAGGGCAGGCCTGAGCTGCTGGGCCTAAATTTGAACACAGAGATGTCCCTCTGCGGCACAGGCAGATCTCTGTCTACAAATGATAAAAGGTAAACAGATGGGGGGGGGGGGAGGGGTGAGAAATAAGGAACCAGACATCTGTCTATATCACACACATGAAAGAACAAATATTGTGTACTATAAAAGAGTCAAGTGTTTTGTTAATCACGAAGGATGTTACTGATAAGGCTCTAACGGTGACTACAAAGCAGGAGCTCCCACCTTGCTGAACAACTTCACCATTGCAGGCCCATTTCTGATGCTCCTCAGGAATCCAGCCTACGCCTGCTGGTCCAGATCTCAGGCCTCCCCCAGCCCCAGCGGCCACATCCCCGACAGCTGTGCCTGCACTGTTACTGCAGCAAGCAGTCACGATCACTTGGACTCGTTTTCTGCCACACAGCTAAAACCACAGAGCGTTCTCAAAGAACGCAGTCAGTCACGAAGGCTCACTCAAGGCCTCCGTCTGCTGGAGGGCCCGTGGAACTCCAACTTCCACCTTGGCAAGATGGCAAACCCCAATCAAAAACCCTGCATCTGTGTAAGTCATGATTGCAGGGCTCCTAGAAATGCCCAATTTGGGAATAAAAAAAAAATAGCAACACCTTTCTCCTTTCTATTACAAACAACTGCAAATGGCTCTGAATCTTCTATTTCCAGATCATGACTGCTACACTTGTTAAGGCCAAGGCTGACAGAGTGCTGCACAAGTGACTGACTGCTCTCTCACCACCCAAGCCTCCATCCCTGCCTAAGCCGACCGTCCCTGCCTAAGCCGACCGTGGCTCATCTCCAGGGGCAGACTCGAGGGCAGGTGTCTGTCACGCGGGCTCTCACCAGCCAGGGATGCGCTCACTGCTTGGATTTGTGGGCGAGTGGGGGGAGGCAGAGGTTATGACTGGACAAGCACTGACAGATGGACACAACAGCACTACTACTCTAGTACCAAGCACTCATGAAACCCAAATCACAATGCTGAAAACTCAAAGAATTACACAAGAACTAATGGAGAGATCTCTTTTTTGCTTTTTAAAATCTTTCATAGGACAGAAACCTTAGCTCATGTCTTCTGGTGGTCATCATCTTCCACTGAGCTGCACCTAAAACACAAAGAACAAGTAACAAGCAACTTTGTTTTTTAAAGAATAGGTAACAGTTTTGAAGGTATAAGATGAACTGTCTCTAGTGAAAATTACGTTACTTAAGTAATTCTATAAACTGAAGTTTTAAAAAAAAATTGCCAGAAGCACTAAAATGCTAACTATTTCAGATGGGGGGAAAAAAGACTTTTGACTATGCAGCATACGATCACCAAAATTCTGGTGGGCGATCGCTGTGCGGGTGATGAGGTGGGAGAGCTGCCCCTGTGGCGCCTTCGTCATCAGGCCCTAGTCCACCCGAGACACCGCCTGCGCTTGGCTCTCCACGCCTAAGGCATCAGGAGACAGGGCGCGGGCTCAGAGCTGGCTCATCCTGTCACCTCCGTGGGGTACTTTCATGTCTTTAAAGGAAGCAAACCCACCAGCAGCAAAGTGCTATTCTGATTTTCCATTCTTGAATGCACCAAAATGTGCATACTTCCTGTAATTAGGTTCCTGGGTGAAAAAAAAAATCCCATTTACAATTAAAACAAAAAAAACAAAAAAACAAAAAAAACCAAAAACCACTTATTTTAAGCCCTTAAAATCTGATAGCTTTTCATATTCCTCAGGGAGACAACCATTAATTTTACCCCCAAAACAGAATTACATACACTTTTGAAAATTCACCGTTATGTTAAGAATATAAATTCTTCTGCGTTGCCAAACCAAGCTGATTTACATGACGCTGCTAAGTGTTTATCTACACATGCTGTCAGAAATAACCTTGGTAAGGAGGTGAAGCTGGTGTCTCAGCAAATCAGACCCCTTGCAGAAGGCGTGGGATGGCCTGTGGCCCGTTTTCCTTTTTCTCTTTCCGCACCATCAAAAGGAAAAGTGAGAAAATAGCAGAAACATTAGTTAAATCCTGCATTGCACCCTGGAACCTACAGGAACAACCTCACTACACTGCAAGCTGACAATACTTGTAGGAACTTCTGATGAACTAAGTAGGGCGCCAATTATTAATAAAACGCTAAAGTTTTGGCCAAGTTTGTATCTTTAACAGCTAAAAGTTTCAGTTACTTGCAGGAAATCAAATGAAAGGCTGCTATTAAGTATTTATGGTTTACCTGACTTACCAGCACTGAAGACAAAACCTTTTAAAAATGGCTACAAATGCCTTGTTCACAAAAGACTTTATTACCTAGTGATGCGTACTGAGAACATACAGAAATCTGCATGGTCCATCTGACATGCAGCAAACAATCTTCACTTTACAATAAGTGAGTGTCAACTGTTTTATGCAATAGACAACACCTGAAAGTCACATTCTTAAAGAAAAGCTTCATTTACAAAAGAAAGAAAAGGTAAAGAAGCAATTACCGCTTTTAAAAAGCAGCTGCTTTGTTCAAGAGTGGGAGGGTTACGCCTGTATTGAGAGACAACATGGTCACAAATCATGAAAACAACCAACAAATGAAAAACACTTTTACCATAAAGCAGTCCACTTTCAAAATGACATACAAATAGTTAAAAATTTCATTATGTTGTCTATCTATCCTTTAAATATGAGGACTGTCAGAATTAGGCCTCAACTTTTGTAATTAGTAAATGAAAACTACACATTGTTTTTATGTTGCTAGGAACTCTAACAAAATGTATATAAAGTCTATAGCAAGTTGATTTAAAAAAGTAAAGTTAATAAGAAACAGTACACTGAAGGCGCTCTCTCCATCAAGCGCTACTCGTCCAATTTTTAATGTGATGAACAGAACAGAAACTGTAACTATGCTATAGTTACAATGCCAACAAATAAAAACAAGATCAGCTATCACACATGCAGGGAATTCTGCCACAATGCTAATATTCCTCATTGTCAATTGTCCCAATAAAAGAACAGCTTAAACCCCCAGTGATGTTGATGGGTCAGCTTACCTTCAGTGTACTGACTGACGCACACAACCTGCTCCCTAAGAGGACAGCATCCCTCGGCAGGCTCGGAGGCACAGGCCCCTTCGGCACTGACTACCCCAAGGGCATGCTGCTGTGGCCTGCACACACACCTAGGAAAACGTGAATATAAACAGCATTTACGCTGGCCGCTTTATCTCCAGACCACCCAGCATCACTACTCGTCAGAACAGATGGCTCCGTCTCTATGTGAACTGCAACCATGTACATTAGCACTGGGACTCTGTGCAGTCTTGGCAATAAAACAGTTCTACAGTGAAATTTCACATAAGACACAAAACAGATTAGCTAACATTGCTAAGAGAAATATCACCCTTGGAGTTAATTCAAATATATCATGCTTCCTCAAATTTGCTGGAGAAATATTTATAAGTTTATATACATTAATAAACTGCTGTGAAATTTCTTCAGTCTTTGTATTTAGTTACTCAAACCCGTGGAGTTTCTTCATCTCGTTTAAATCTTCTCCTGGATGAAGGCATGCTGTAGCGCCTGGTTGATGCTAATCCGCTTCGCGGGGTCCAGCATGAGGATCTGATCCAACAAGTCCTTCAGCTGGTGCACCTTCTTACGCTGGTCTTCAGGAAGCCGCTGGCACCCAATCAAATCGGCCAGCAGGTCCTTAGTTGGATTAATGGTACTCATGACAGTAACTTTCTCCTAAAACACAAGTTACCTTTATGTTACTAACTATACCTAACCCCAAATCAGACTTGTAGATTAAAAATATTGTTTGCATAATATATATTCACCCAGGCCATCTCTTCATGAAAATGTTAATGTAATTACTACCATCTTATCAAGAGGCAATGACAACACCAACATAAGGAGAACCGGCTGAGCGACATCCTCCTCACAGCTGTCCCTGTGTGGCGAGTGACCGACACGCAGACAAACCAACAGGAGGCTAAGTGCTCCCCGGGACATCAGCAGACGTTCACAGAAGGGGATGAAACACGAGGCTCTCTTCAGAGCAGCCAACACGGGTGTGTTTCCCTAAAGCTTGTAAAGAGAGGAGCCAGTCCAAGTGACCCAGTAGTTGGGGAGGCCCCGTGGTCAGGTGGGCAATGCCAGGTACAGAGCAGTGAGGAGAGTGGGAATGCTGAAGGCGGAACTGACGTCACAGGGAACCGCACTCTGTCACTCAGAGGAACCCAACCTCAGAGGTAACAGGGAGCCAGGGCGAGTAACAGGATCCAATTTGTCATGAAAAAGATCACTGGGGCAGCAACACAGGAGCAAGACCAGGAAAGTGATGAGAGCCCGAGTCTGACCGACATTAAGACAAGCCCGTTCTTTGAGTGAGATATTTTCAAACCCCTTCATGCACCAGCAACTTCTCCAGCAACACACCCAGAACATTCTTCCCCATCCTGGGACCCAAAGGCAACATGAGACGACCATCTCGGTCCCAGGGTTGCCGATGTAGTGTCACAACACGCTCCCCTTCCTGGAATCACTTCTCTCACCCACCTTGCTTCTCTATCCTAATGGAAGCCCACACAAGTCTTCAACCCCTTCACCCTTATAGTAACTATTAAATTAAAAAAAGCATTAAAAAAATCCCCTAGGGCCCGGTGTGGTAGCCTGGCGGCTGGAGTCTTCCTTGCTTTGGGCACACAGGGATCCCATGTGGGCGCCAGTTCTAGTCTTGGCAGCATCGCTTCCCATCCAGCTCCCTGCTTGTGGCCTGGGAGAGCAGTCAGGGATGGCCCGGGGCCCTGGGACCCTGCACCTGTGTGGGAGACCCGGGGGAGGCTCTGGGCTCCTGGCTTCGGATTGGCTTAGCTCTGGCTGCTGTGGCCGCTTGGGGGGGTTAGTCATGGACGGAAGATCTTCCTCTGTATATGTGCCTTTCCAATAAAAAGAAATAAATCTTTAAAGAAAGATTTCCCTCATCTTTTCCATAATGTAATGTGTTTTTTATTCAGGAACTGGCCAACAACAAAAACATCCTTCTGACATTTTACTTCCAGCAAAAAATTCACAGCATCTAGAGTACCACTCAGCACCCCACTCATTAGCAACGAGCTAGTCATTAACGCAGCGTGTTTAAGCAGACTCACCCTCTCTGTAACTTTATCCACTTCTATGTACATGAAGTTGAGATTCTGATCGAAATGCTGATCTTTGAATACTCCTTTCCGTATCATCTATGGAACAAAACAGAAGAAAACCTTGGGCTTTGAGCCACTGAGAAAGGCTGGCTTAACTAAGCACGGGCAAGCCACTCAGGCTTTCTCAGATTTTCCTACTTGTTGGATTAATTAACAGAAAAGTCAACAGCAAGGCTGCTAAGTTGCTAAGCACCACGCAATCACACCCTTCCCAGGCAGTGCCTTATGCTAATCACAATATCAGGTTGTGCCTGCAATTTTCAAAATGGGAACCAACCAAAGTATTTGCTCTCAGAAAAAAACAAAAACAAACATTATTCAACCAAGGCTTAGCAACTGGGAATCTTAATTTCCCACAGTCTATTCCTACAGCCCCAAGATGACAGAACGTAGGCTCCATCAAAGCACACACACACAATATTTTGTCGGAAACAGATTTGGAACGGCATCTGAAAACAGTAACAGCCTGATGCCGAGGGAAGCTCCTCACACAGAACTGCAGTGTACCTGACACGCCACGTGGCTCTTCCTGCCCAGTGACCCGGTGCTGCACCCAGCGGCCCGGCTCACACAGAAACTGGGAACCGTCTTACCTTATTCGGCATCTTTCCTTTAAGATCCATAGCAAGCTTCAGCATATGATTATTGGTTTTGCCAGGAAATAAAATTTTTCCAGTATAGAGTTCGTACAAGGTACATCCTACAGACCACATGTCTATACCATAGTCATAGCTTTTACCTATAACTGGAAAAGAAAATGAAAATCTTAACGAGGACAAGAATGATTGGCTACTACTAATTTTGATTCCCACTAGTTTAGGACTAACCTAGCTTGGATTATTACAATACCTTAATGCGGCCATCCGTTGGACGTTCTTTGCCACTAACACTTAACAGAAACTCTTAAATTTAAATCCCTTCCAAAAGCAAACAAAAAGCAAAGTATCTTTTTCCTCCTCTCCTTTCACCTTGGCTGGAGGTGCTACTCATTCCCCAGTGCGACAGGAGGGAAAATCCACAGGGGCACACATCCTACCCGCTGAGTCAGCAGCAGTGTGCCGCTGTGCAGGGGCCCACAGCTCCCCACAGCTCAGCGGGGAGGACGAGCTGGCCATGGCTCCCTTCCTCCAGTGTGAACACAGTGCTGGGACACCACATAGCCTGCTCCCACTGCAGAGGATGGCCCAGGCCCAAGGACATGTTAAAGAACTTACTGATTTCAGGAGCACGATAAAATCTACTGACAAGGTAAGGCGTTATGTCATTATCCGCAACATGGGAAGCCGACCCAAAATCACAAAGCTTTAAAATTGTTTTTGATTCATTAACCTGCAAAACATTTTCCCAAGGATATTTAATTCAAGTCAGGAATAATCAAAATAATAAACTGACTTTAATAAGTTATAGAAGGCCAAGTACAGTTAATTGTAATAAACATTTTTAACCAGGTGGGGTCATGAGAGAAAAAAAATATTTCATGAACCAAAGCATCTTCTAAACCCCCGCCCCCCAAAAAACCAAAAAAAAAGAAAAATCAAAACCCTAAACAAGTACCTATATGAAGTCTTTATTTACGCGAATAAAGACAGTCCTACGTAAGGACTCCAGTTACTTCCAATGCCAGAACACTGGGGTGGCGGGGGCAGCGTGATGCGGAGAACTGCATTCTCTCAGGCAGCTAAGCAGCCCACATTTAGCAATCACTTCACACACTGAAAACACCAAATCCCTTAACCACAAGAGATTAGTCCCCCAACTGTCAAACGTAACCGGCCAGTCGGATATACATGGGCGCGCTCTTTGCTCCTTGTAAATCCTTGCTCACACACAGTGACACCTGCCGAGGAAGGCTGGGGCTGCCCTGACTGCCACGCTGGACTCAGAGCATGTCTGGGATTAACAAGTGAAGATAATTCACACTCCAGAATCCCTTCCCCGCTTCAAGAGAGATGCACATGAATTTTGAGTTGGAATTTGAACTTGGCCTGCTGTTCCCACCCCAACTAACTGAACGCTTTAACCAGCACTGGGCACGCTTTATGAGGACACATTCAAGTCTGGTCAACGTTACAGACTGAATAGAAAATGCCCAAAACTAAAGTAACAGAAATGACTACTTTTAACTGCCACATCCATCAGCCTTCTCTTCACGGGAGAGCCAAGAAAACAGGCATCTCCAAAGGGCAGTTCTCCGGCACAAGCCAGCCAGCCTCGCCTACGCGGGAGCCTGGGCTCAATCCAACTCTCGACGAGCACACAGGGAGGGCGTGCAAGCTGGACCCCGTCTGTGCATTCCTGCCCCGCTGGACCGAGCGCCTCACTCCTGGCTCCAGGAGGCCCTTTGGGGAGTGACCCAGCGGGTGGAAGCTCTCTCTGCAACTGCTTTCTTTCCAAATAAGTGAATCTTCAAAAAGCAAGCAGACAAAAAGTGTAAGCTGAATTGCCAGAGAAACTGTCGGGGCCGGCTGCGACCCTCTAAAGCAGGGCTCCCACGCCCATGTGCGCCTTGGCCAGCCGCACAGCTGTCCTGGGGGATGCGGTGCTTCACCACCGAGGGCTCCAGTCCCGGCCTTAAAGGGCGAGTTTCACTAACAATTACCAGCCCCTTATGCTCTCTGAAACTTCTTCCACAGAAGGGAGAACATTCTGCTTCTGAAATTCATACAAAAATCTATACTACTTTAGCGAGAAAGCAAAGAAAAAAATGAAGTGTTGTAAAAAGAACACGTGTGGCTGTGTTGCCCTTTAACTCACACAGCGGTTCACTGCACTTTCTACACATCACAATCTTTAAAACTATGGAAGTCTGTAACTTATCTGCTACCTCACTGTGATCACTCAACTCCCCAACACTGAGTTATATTAGATATATCATAATAGAAACTAAATATGAAAACAAAGAGGCTTCACTGTGGTAGGATAGCAGAAAGTATCTTAAGAGCAAATTTGAACTAATGAGTTTACTCACTAGTAAAAGTCCTTAATTTCCCCCTCCTAGCCACAGGTTTATTAATCTGAAAGTGATCATCCATCTGTGAGATGACTCCCCCAACGGCCACCACAGCCAGGAAGGGCCAGAGCAGACCGGGCCAGGACATTCTGGTCTCCGGCGGGTGGGAGGAGCCCAAGGACCTGCTGCCTTCCCACACTCCTCAGCAGGAAGCTAGACCAGAGTAGCTGCGATTCAGACCAGCACTCCAATGCGAAATGTTACTGTTGCAAACAGCAGCTTGTAGTTCTTACAGCTTGAGTCACCAGCGCAGAGACCAAGGCTCCAATCGGGTAGGGAAGGCCGCCCTATGCACTCCCACCCACCTGAGCTTTACTGCGCTTGCTCGGGGCCCTGGAGCCCGGGAGGCTAACAGGAAGAGGAAGTCACTCCTAGGTACCTGCTAAACTCCCTAAAATGCCCCAAATTAAATCAGTCGATTTTGAAAACAAAGGAGCAAGATGACACCTTATTTCAAAACAGCAACCCATGTAAACACTACTTAGAAAAAAATACCATAGGAAAGCTGTTAACTATATTATTGCACTCTTGGGGTGTGGCCATGCCCTAAACCAATTCATCAATTTTCTTAGAACTTAGGGATGCGGGAGGGAAGACTGGCCTACTCCCTCTTTCGTTTTACCTCTTTACAAGGTATCATGGTCCATTTCTAAAAACCTAGATCACTTGTCATGCATTAACATAATGAATCATGCTTCAAAGATGTCACTTCTGGAGTAACAGTTATAATCACATAGCTATAAGAGATACAGGTGCACGGAGAGCTGGTTGGTGGGACTCACCAGGATGTTGTCCGGCTTGATGTCAGCATGGAGAATGTTACACCTTTTAAGGAGTTTCAAGGCCAGGAACAACTGCTGACTGTATGATCTTACGGCTTTGATATGAAGACCAACATCTTTACCATATTTTTTCAACACCTCTCGTAAATTCATACTTTTAGGAGAAAAACAAAAACACAAACGAGGTTAAAATGCAAAAATAAAAATGGAAAGGGGAACAGAATTTAAACTAAAATGATGTGCAACGAAATCATGCTGCTGAAGAACCTCTTCTAACAGCTGAGCAGTCACTCCGTGCCCGAACGACACGTCCGACTGCACACACACATGAGCAGTCACCCCACGCCCGAACGACACATCCGACTGCACACACACATGAGCAGTCACTCCACGCCCGAACGACACGTCCGGCTGCACACACATGAGCAGTCACTCCACGCCCGACTGCACACACACATGAGCAGTCACTCCACGCCCGAACGACACGTCCGACTGCACACACATGAGCAGTCACTCCACGCCCGAACGACACGTCCGACTGCACACACAATTTCCACATGTAGATCAAGTTTCACAACAAGTAGAGGAGATGCGAGTGGTGAGGCAATTTTCCCACTACACAACAGGAAAGCTGCACTGCAGAAGAACTGGCTCACTCGCCCCACTGCACTTCCGGGACCCGCTCTGCTGACCTGCTGGCCTCAGAGCAGCGTGTGGGGAAGCGTGCACAGCAAGTTCCTACCTAGGCATTCCTGCCGGTAATGAGCTTCCCCCAAAGCCACTGAAAAACACCACCAAAAACCAAGGGCTGCCCACGGAACCTCCCCCAGCACGCAGCACAGCTGTCCGCAGCCCGGATTCAGCACGCGGCTGGCGGAGGTGGGCGCGCTGGGCTCCAGGAGCAGACCCCACTGTACCTGAGGGGCTCAAACACGAGGCACAGGTGCTGCTTGTGGTAGAAGTGCCGGAAGAGCCGCAGACAGTGAAATTTGTCGTCAGGATCAGCATCATTAAGTTTTTTCAAAAACTCTAGTTCTTTCAAACCAGTCTTCTGCCTGAAAAAAAAAAATTAGGTGAAAACCGAACGCGCACAGAATTTAGTACAAGTTCACTAGACTCAGTCAGCTGTTACCACGGTGACGTGGCGTGTATTAATAAATCTGAGTAAAACGTACACATTAAAGCCAGTTATTTTCCTGACAGAGATAATCTCTAAAAATGAATGAACAAAACAGAGCCAAATCTCTTTGCTAGAAAAGTGAATCTTACACATTTTCCTTTCTTTTTTCTTTTTTCAAGGTTTTATTTTTACTGGAAAGGCAGACATACAGACAGGAGAGACACAGAAAGACCCCCCCACCCGCTAGTTAACTCCCCAAGCAGTCACAATGGCCAGAGGTGAGCTGACCCAAAGGCAGGAGCCAGGAGCTTTCCGAGTCTCCATGCTGGCCCAATCCTGCACACTTCCCCAGGGGCCAGTGCAGGGCATGGCAGGCTAAGCCTTCCGTGGCAGCATCCCATATGGGTGTGAGACCGAGTCCCAGCTGCTCCGCTTCGGATCCAGCTCCCTCCTCAGGCACCTAGGAAAGCAGCAGAGGGTGGCTTGGGGCTTTGCAAGGTCTGGACAGAAGCCCCTGGGTTCTGCTTCCGTTCGGCTCAGCTCTAGCTGCTGCAGCCATTTGGGGATACAAGACCTCTCTGTAAAGTCTGCCTTTTAAACAAAAATATATCAAAACTTAAAAAAAAAAATACGTTATTTCATAATTATTTCTAACATACATGTAACCACAGTTTACTAGCTTTGGTTTCACGAAGAATAATGTATACGTCTTATTACGTGTTAATGTTTGGCTGTCTGATGAAATTCTGGTTGTAATTTGTTAAGATTCTATATTTTACAGTGAAAGTGGATTATAGAGGAAAACAGAGGCTAGGCCAGGGCGGGTGGGGACTAGAAAGGGGCAGGGCAGGGGGTGTAGAAAGATCTTTCATTCACTGGTCTCATCAAACACCAAAGCCAAGAGCTGGGTACCCATCCAGGTACCCACGCAGCTGGCAGAGGCAGAGGCACATAGCCTTCACCTGCTGTGACCTCACGCACGAAGCTGCATGGAGGGGACAGGCAGGAAGGCTGCTTAACCTGCTGCCTGCACGTGGCAAACTGGCATCTCCCAACCGTGCACACTAGGTCAGACTGAGCTGCAGATGCAGTGTGGCCGAGGCAATCACCTGTCCTTGAACAGACAACAGATACACAGCAGATGCAAACCATCTCCATCACTACCCAACACATCACTTTGCTACCTCGGCAGGCCATTCTAACAACAACTCAATGAGTATCCTTTTTTATTTCTCACCTCTTGTCCTTCCCAGTGAAAGCTGGATAAGCAGTAGCAGGTAAGGTCTAACCTGGCATTAAGGTACATAGTAGGTGCTGAAATGCACTGAAATGAATCAAATACAGTCAGCCTGTGGCTCTAAAATACAATGCTTGCTTTATACAGACTGCCACGAATGCTGTGAAATGGCATTTTTACGCAGTTTCTCTTGAACCTAGCCACTAACGGCGTCTGCTTCTGAACTTACATGAGCTCGTTGTTTCTGATGATTTTGACAGCCACTTCCTGGTTGGCTCTTGCATTATCCCGGGCTCGCACCACGTTACTGAACACCCCTTGCCCAGTGTAGCCATACACGTTGTAACGCTTATCCAGCACCTCACCTATGTTCACACCTGGAAAGGCAAAGCAACAATTACAAGCCTGACCGCCCTGCAGGAGAACCGGAAAGGAGGCACACAGTGCCCACACTGCCGCCACAAGCCGACCGTGGCATCTTCAACACGACAGCTTACACACACAGTTCCAAAGCTCTGTCCCTCCTCTGCTCTTTGAGAACGCGGCTAGAAGCTGCACGCCTGCCTCAGCTCTCAAGAAGTTTCTGTTGTCCTAGCAACTGCTGATAATGTTAACATTCAGCAGGAAAGAAATAGGCTCACTTAAGTACCCCTAGTCACACATGACCAGCACCCAAAATTCCGGAGTATTTTTTTTTTCTTTAAATTTTGGTAACCAGTCAAGAAGGCCAAGTTAACATGCCCCGTCTTTATGGAGGACTCGCTCAGGACTAAAAACAACCCAGCAGAGTCAGGCTGCACACACCGTCTCCCCACTCACCTCCACCCAGGAGGCTCTGGGCTGCCTGAGGGAATGTGGGGACGGCTCACGCGGCTGCTGGGGTGCCCCGCTGGTCAGTGACAGCACTGTGGTATCCTCAGCTCTCCCATCACACGGCACTGCAGAGAGAACACGTTCCCACAGAGAAGCTAGGAAGGGGACTTACGGTAATAGCCTTCGGCATCAGTCCAGTTATCGCGAAGGTTGGGATTCTCTTTGAAGTCCTTGCCAATGCCAGCAGCACGAAGACGAGCGCTCTGAAACGAAGGAGGCAGTGTGAACTACCCGTCCACTAGTCAGAAACATAAACAGCTTCCTTGAAAGCCAGTTAAGCGCAAAACCAACAAAAAGCATTTTAGTTTAAATTAAACTCTTATCACCACTTGGGGTCAATGCAACATAGCTGACAAATGTTATCAAATCTCTTGTAGCATTGAATGCTGGAAAAAAATAATAACACAGCAAAAGCTTTCACAAATATGATTAAGGAATTATAAAAGAAAACTCCAAACCAGACCTGATTTTCCATAGCCGCTGATGGGCACATTAGGACAAACACTGAACTGTTACTTAGCTAACCATAGCAGCATCCAACTGCCTCTTCTACCAGCTCCTGACAGCCCTGTCACACAGACAGGAGATCCTCTTCCCACACCTGCGACACGTAGTGTATTCACCAGCCGAGTCCCGGTGGAAAGCACACGCACCTGTACTTGTGCATGCCCCATGCTCTGCCCCAGCTAGGCACACCAGCTGTGCCGCCATCCTGCTGCAGACACGGCCAGGGGCTGGTGCACTCCCAGTGCCCCCCAGCTAGGCACGCCAGCTGTGCCGCCATCCTGCTGCAGACACGGCCAGGGGCTGGTGCACTCCCAGTGCCCCCCAGCTAGGCACACCAGCCGTGCCGCCATCCTGCTGCAGACACGGCCAGGGGCTGGTGCACTCCCAGTGCCCCCCAGCTAGGCACACCAGCCGTGCCGCCATCCTGCTGCAGACACGGCCAGGGGCTGGTGCACTCCCAGTGCCCCCCAGCTAGGCACACCAGCCGTGCCGCCATCCTGCTGCAGACACAGCCAGGGGCCAGTCTTCTTGGAATCTTTAGTCTACACTGGCTGCTCATCATGCTTTCATCTTCTTGATGACGTGTGTCTTCTCCACCTCTACTTCTATCTTTATTTTCAAATAAATTTGTACTGAAAAACTTTTGAGGATGTTTATACAGGTTAGGATTTTTTCAATAAAAGGCAGTGATAAATGACTTAGGAAATAATCACTTAATGTGATTTCTTAATCCATTCCTTAATCTGTGTTTCCAATCCTCCCAGCAAACTCTTCTCATACTCATTGTACATTGCCTATAAAATAGAGGCCCAAAGTAGACTACATTCTAATGAAGGCAAGGGAAAAGGTGAGCACAGCCTTTTCTCGCCTAACCCCATGTGTGTGCGCACATCCAGCCCCGCTCCCCTGCAGGGGTACATGACACACACACCACGGACACGCAGCTGCGTCCCAGGCACGCGACTCTCAGCCTCAGGTTGTTCTGCTGTGCTTGCCTATGTTGCCCTCCATTTTAGAAGTATGATTTACAAAACTCATGTTATTTATACTCTTCCCTACTTAGTAGCTGAAATGAAATTACTTACATCGAAGTACGCAGCAAACATATCATCAGATTCTGTAAACATATCAGGTGCCAAGAGCTTCTTCTGAGACGACCCTTATCAGAATCAGCAGTGTGAAGGAAACACAGGTTACCACACGAGCCCAGCACCCACGTCTCCCCGCCCTCCTGCACCCGACTTCTGTCCACAGCACACTGAGGACCTGTCTTACGCTACACACACCATCACTCCCTACCAACAGCACCCATCTTCAGAAATCAAAACACCAATTAGATAGCACTGTTCTCTAATAACCCAATATCTAAATCTGATTCTGTATAAAAATGTAAGCTCCCGTTTACTCCCGATTTGCACCTTTTATGCAGTTAATAGTCCCACTATTAGCAATCAGTAGCAAGCCCCACAATCTCACAGAAAGCTAAGCCAAGAGAAACACATCAGTTCCTAGAATTAAAGAAAGCACCAATGGCAAGCATGTTAAAAATACAACTGAACACAATGAGATGCTGTCTCGTGCTTATGGCAGGGTAACACTGGTGTACCACCCCTACCCCCCTGACACTCTGCCTTTTAAATAAAAAACAAAAAACAAAACAAAACAAAAACCCACCACCACAACAACAAAACCCTCCATTAAGGTACATTCCTCATCTTTTTCACCTTGCCCTAATCCCAAATCCCCACCCACAAAAAACCTCTGACTGACAGAATAGACCTAGAACTTCAAAGTCTGAGTCAGAACAAAAACCTATGTCACTCACCATTATTCTGCTCAACAGTCATTAGATTATGCTTGGCCTTCACGGAGGCCTCAAAAGTATCCACGTTCTCCCGCTCATACTCCTTGACATCGGCCGCGACTCGCTCAAGGATGTCATCAGGAGACGGGGACCGCGACCGAGTACTGCTCTGGGGGCTGCTTGGCTCAGACGGGACGGACATGTTGCTGTCTTCGGCAAGGTACTTGTATTTCTATTGCAACAAACACAGAGTTTCTATAAGATCGGATGCTAAGAACTGCTGTACTAAAGAGTTTCAGATAATGCAAAACCACAACAAAGCTATTAATGCTGCATCTTAAATTCACAAACTCCCATCAGACGGCAAACCTGGACTGAGCAGGTGGAACGCTGCCAATCTTGCACTATCCTTGCACTGTGACAGTGCGACTGGCTGGAGACAGCTCGCTGTGCTGGACACTAGGGTCTGCTCGACTCCACTGACAGTGCTACTATAGACAGACTCATTGTACTGCCTTTGAAAAATGTAAGCACTCCTGAGTTCTGAAGCCCATCTAGCCCCAAGGACTGGAGATTAAGAAGCCATCGACCCAGAGAAGAACAGGAAGAGACTCAACCGCGTCTCTTCAGAGCTGCCAGTCTAACAGTCCAGGCATGAATGCTTCCTCTGGCACAGCAGTTTTGCTGACCCAGCCAGTTCCCTGGTGCCCGCGGGGCCACATCAGTTCACACGAGCTCCAAGGACTGCTCCTCCCTCACCTCCCCTCGCACAGCAGCCCGCCTAGCGCCGGTGAGCGAAGCACTTCACAGGGATCGGGTCTCTGGAGGCAGTCAGTGCTGGGGCTTGGCCTCATCGCTCAATGACTTGCTAAGTATAAAACAACCGCTTCTGTTGTCATTAACTACCATAAACTATCTTTTACTGTCATTATTTTGTTAGTAAAATTCTTCCACAGTAACAAGCAGTTTTCTGCTAAATGAAATTATCTCTACTCATTCTACATTCTTTCATCAGATTTTTCCGTATCAGTGCAGAATTTCTATCAGTATATCACAATCCTATATCTAACGGAGACACCTGTCCAACCTCAGAGCTAACTGTATACACACAGTCCTCGTAAAGGGCTGGTCAACTGTCACAATACAATCACTTCGCTGATAAAGCAAAACATTATTCTTACTAAGACAGTGACACTGAGGCCTGACGGAAGTCATGCTGACGTCACCAACCTGAACGATGGCCTGCCTCTGTATCCTTCGCTGCTCGATCAGCGCTTCTTCATCTTCTTCTTCCACGTCAAAATCTTCTAGGCTTAAAAACAAAAATTTAAGCATCCTTAGGAATTCTTAAAAAAAAAAAAAGACAAAACAAAACAAACAAACAAAAAAACTGCGAGCAATTCTTAACCCTTTAAAGCCCAATGCTCCAATGCTGGGCATTCAGTTGGACAGAAGTCCCAGGGACAGCTGTTGTGGGCAGCAAGCTAAGCAGCCTCGTGCAGCACCTCACACAGCAGGTGACAGCCAAGCACTCAGCTCCGCACTCACGGGGAGACTCAGACAGGGCTGTGCGGCTTTGGTCTGGCTGAGCCCCATCTATTGTGGCCATTTGGGGGTGACCCATCATACAGAAGACCAACGACACGACACCCCACAAAAATGCGTATTTCTTGTGTCAGTTAAGAATTTATAAAACTGCAGGAAAAAAGTATCAATGCAAGGGCCAGTCAAGACAGGCTGCCGTCAGTGAGCTCAAAGACCCAAGCCTTGCACTGCTCCACTCTGGTGCCAGCCGTGGGATTTGCTGCACCAGCTTCCTTAGTCGTCACCAAAACTGGGCTCAGAAAAAATTCCCACTGGCTGACCCCCAACTGCAGCCCAGTCGCTGGACCTCACTGGCCTCAGGGCCCTTGTCCATAAAGCCAGGGCTGCCCCCGGTGAGGGACCTGAGAGACCCCGGATCCTGGCCTGCTCCAGCCATGAGGAGAGTGAAACAGCAAGATCACAGGGAAAGTTCACAAAAGTTAAGATTCTTTCCCTATCCAAACTGCACACAGCTGCATATCAACTTGAGGGGAAGGGGGTTTGATGTCCAAACACTGCCCGATTCTTCTCGACCTTGTCCTCCGAAACCCTTACCCATCATCCTGCAATTCTTTCGGATGCAGCTTTTTTATGAACCTCTACTCAGTGTCCATAAAAGCAAAGTGCACTCTAACTACTGCATAACCTACCTGAACACTGTCCCTCCATCCAATGTTCTTCATCTAGTCTACTCTGAGCTCCTCAGCATCAGCACCACTCACTTTCTGACCTGGGCGGTTCTCTCCTGTGTGATCCAAGACACAGCACCTGCAGTGACTCAAGAACCAAGCCTGCCTGCGCACTGGCCACTGCCCCACCGCCTGGATGACTGTGTTCACACTTAAAAAAATCCCACCAATATTTCATTAGAAATGCTTCTCTAACTGCTGACAGGCAGATACGGCATCAGATAGCAAAGACAGCCTCAAGCGCAAACTCACTGCAAATCTAACCTTTTATTAAAAAATATATATATATTTCTATTGGAATATATCTATATTTCTATATATATTCTCTCTATATATATCTATAAATATATATATTCTATATATATATATTCTATAAATATATACATATATATATATTTCTATTGGAAAGTCATATATGTAGAGAGGAGGAGAGACAGAGAGAAGATCTTCCATCCAATGATTCACTCTCGAAGTGACCACAACGGTTGGAGCTGAGCTGACCCTGGAGCCAGAAGCCAGGATCCTCCTCCCAGTTTCCCATGTGGGTGCAGGGTCCCAAGGCCTTGGGCTGTCTGTACTGTTCTGCTCTCCCAGGCCACAAGCAGGGAGCTGGATGGGAAACGCAGTTGCTGGGATGTGAACTGTCACCCATTTGAGATCCTGGCACATTCTGTGCCGGGTCCAAGTCTAACTTTTATAGAAATTCCCCCTAAAAACAAGTAACTCAGACTGGGAAGATTAACTAACACATCTGTTTGTAGGAGGACATTGTGAGCCTGGAAGGTCAGCGAGCACAGGTTTGCAGTTCATTGGACAGTATTTGCATGACAACAACCAAATGGCTACCTTTGGTATAAACAGCATGTAAATGAGAACACCTGGTGTAATATACAAAACAAAAGGAATTCCAATCAAGAGAGGGAAACAGTACGGACTCTCAGTGTATAAAGTCTGATGCCCCTAATAAACTTCGGCTTTGACCATCAGTCAGGGTCCACGCGTGTTATTATCGGCTCCGTCCCCCACAGAAAGTGGTGAGTGGGACAATGGGCCAGAACCAGTGTAGAGCACAGTCATTTATCTCTCTTATGCAGAATTTTTTAGTGAAAAGTGGAGCAAAGGTAACTAGGCAGCAATTGCGTTCTTATTTAGAGCTTATTGGTGAATATAATCGTTGGTCTCCAGATGAATGGACACTAGAAACTGGATTTAAGAATTTTACTCAGAAAAATGCTGAAAAGGCCAGAAGGATAGAAGATATTCAAGTTAGTTTTTGGATTATATCAGCTTTAATTAGAGCTGTTATTATAATTTTAGAAGGGGAATGTGCAAGAAACTCCTTTAAGAGGAGACACCCCCAAAATGTAGCTAAAAAAGAAGTGTTTCATAATATGGACAAGGAAGAAAGAGAAAGAGGACTCTTAAGAGGTCCACCTAACAGGAAAGGCTACTGTAATAGTTCTAAAAAAGAAGCGCCTCATAGTACAGATGAGGAGGATGGCAAAGAGCAGCCTGTGAGAGATTTCCCTAACGGGAGACGCCACCTTAACGTGGCTAGGAAAGAAATGGCTTATACTACAGATGAAGAAGATGAAAAAGAATGTGTTAGAGACCCTCCTGTGAGGATATGCCACTGTAATGCAGCTAAAAGAGAAAGGCCTTATGCTGCAGATGTGGAAATTAGGAAAAGAAAACTCAGGAGAGATTCTCCTAATGAAAGATGTTACCATAATGTGACTGAAAATGAAATGAGAACTAAGAAAAAGAAGAAAATTTGTAGTGTTAAACCACAGGATTTCTCTAGTGAGGTAAACAAGGATAGGATAATGGAAGAGTTAAATACCAGCCCATGCCATCTCACTCTTAAATCTGATCAAAGACGTTTCCAAATGTCTGATGTTCCCCGGAGACCTCATGAATTCCGATTGCTTTTTCCAATCATACTTAGTCAAGAAAACCATCAACCTACGTATGAAAGCTTAGATGTTAATGCCATCACAGCTTTTAAAAAGGCTTGCGTGTCCTACGGACCTACTTCTTCATATGTGTGGGAATATTTAAATGGCTGGAGCCAGGGAGCAAACTGGATTCCTTATGATTTTGAAGTAATAGCAAAAATAGGACTTTCTCCTTCTCAATATTTACAATGGAAAATGTGGAGAAGCGATATGGCTAAGGAAAAATTGCGATCGTTAGGAGCATCAGGTCGCCAACTCCCTGGAGGGGGGCAATTGACTTATGATATGTTAGTCGGAGATGGACAGTGGGTTACTACAGAGCAGCAGATACTGCTACCTCAAGCTGCGTTCATTCATATACGAGACGTAGCATTGTGGGCATGGGAGAAAATTGAAGCTGGGTCTGAATTTGCAGGCAGTTATACAAAAGTCTTTCAAGGAGCCAGAGAATCTTATGCTGATTTTGTAAGGCGTTTGACAGACTCCATAGAAAAACAAGTTAGAGGAGAAGGCACTAGGAAATTGTTATTAAAGCAACTGGCTTTTGAGAATGCAAACGAGGACTGCCAGACTGTTATTCGTCCTATAAAAGAAAAGGAAGATATTTTTGGTTACCTCAAAGCCTGTCGCAACATAGGCACATTTAAACACCGTGCCCACCTAGCAGCACTTGAAACCTTTGCCATTCAAAAGCAAATGAATGCTAAATGTTTTAACTGTGGCAAGCGAGGACACCTGAGAAAAAATTGCCGGATGCTTCCTACAACTCAAAGATACCATGTTGATACTTCTAACAGTCACTCCCCAGGAATATGTCCTAAGTGCCAAAGAGGCCGGCACTGGAAAAAAGAATGTAAATCTAAATTTGATCGTGGTGGCAGACGTTTGTGGCCAGAAGGCTTCTGGAGAAGCCAGCCCCAGGTCCCAAACATTCAGGAGTTTACAAAACAGGAACATCCTATTCAATTTGTGCCTGCAGAGAAGCTTCAAACTTAAAACAGCCAGCAAGTAAATCCTGGAGGCTGAAATTCCAATCAATTGTGGTGAATGCATGTTATTCATATAGCACTTTTTCTATACAGCATTGCTTAATCATGTATGCCAATTTTTAAGTACAAGTTTTTATATTAAGTTATGTTCTCTGTCTCATTAAGTTCTTATTGTTTAAAATTAACAAAGTGATGTTCTTGCTTTAAGGAGTATTTGGGTGACGGCATTATATCATTATAAGGTGAAAGTTTGCTGTTTTTGTGTTAATGTACCCAGGTTGTAACTGCATGTCTTTTGGAATATTTTATAATGCTGAGGACACTGGAATACAAGAAAACTGGGATACAGGCCTTCAGTTTAACTGCTAGATTTCACAATATTGACCAATTTCAAGGTCTACGCAGTTCAGAAAATTATCTCTGGGGCCCAGCACAGTAGCCTAATGGTTGAAGTCCTCACCTTGCAATCACAGGATCCCATATGGGCGCTGGTTGGTATCCCAGCTGTTCCAGCTCCCTGCCTCTGGCCTGGGAAAGCAGTCGAGGACGGCCCTAAGCCTTCCCTACACCCACATGGGAGACCTGGAAGAAGCTCCTGGTTCCGGATCAGCTCAGCTCTAGCCATCAGGGCCACCTGGGGAGGGAACCAATGGACAGAACTCTCTTCTCTTTTTCTCTGTATATCTGGCTTTCTAATAAAAATAAAGAAAGAAGGAAGGAAAGAAAATGACCTCTGCCACACAACTTAAGCTACTTAGTACAAAATGTGGACTTTGAGTCAAGGACAAGATGAGCGGACTAACGTGCAGTAGTCAGGTGGCAGCACCAGCAAGTTCCCTTACTTGTCATCAGATGACGACTCCTGCTCAGCTTTCATTCCTTCGGAAAGGCTTCCTTTAAATTTATCTTCCTTCACTTTGCTTCGGCTCCTCCGCCTGCGGCCACCACGTGACCGGGACCTCCTTCTCAGGCGTGACCTGCTCCTCCGGCCTCTGTCCCTGTTGAAGACAAAGATGGTACTTCTATGAAGCTCTCAACAGACCCAGTTTCACTCAAAAACATTTTCTAAGAGGGTAATGAGCTAATCCTCCGCCCTGCGGCACTGGGTTCGTGTCCCAGCTGCCTGCTTCCCGTCCAGCTCCCTGCCTGTGGCCCAGGAAAGCAGTCAAGGACGGCCCACAGACTTGGGACCCGGCACCCATGTGGGAGACCCGGAGGAGGCTCCTGGCTTCGGACCAGCGCAGCTCTGCCTGGTGCACCCATTTGGAGAGTGAATTAGTGAAGAGAAGAACTTTCTGTCTCACCTCTCTGTGCATTTGCCTTTCAAACAAAAATAAAACTTAAAAAATTTACCTAAAAAATATTGTTATTTTAGAGGCAGAAGGAAATAGGGAATGAGAGTTCCCATGAATGGACTCAGTGCATGGGGGACTCAGGGAGGGGAGGGCAGTGAAGCTGGGAACCAGAAGCAACGTGTGTCTCCCATGTGAACGGCAGAAAACCTGCTCCCCAAGCCATCACTGCTGTCTGCTTAAGGCAGAGCTGGACTCAAGAACCAAGGACCACAGCGGGCATCCCACCTGTCAGGTCAAACACCTGCCCTGATGTCAATCACACACCTCACTCCTGAACACACAGCAACAAAGGACCCTGCCCCTGGATGAAGAAAGTCTTTAAACAAAACAACTCTAGAAAAGTTAAAGGAAGATAAAATTACAGAAAGACAAACTGCATCAGCTAAGAAATCATGCTATTTATGTGACTGGAATAAAAAAGTCCACAATGTCCTAGAAATGAAGCCTAAGTGCGAACATCGGTGAGCAACGCCAGCAGAACAAGACGCTCAGGGGAAGGAGGGCAGGACCAGGATGCCCTAGACCGAAAGCACACCGAGCGGCAACAAGATGGACGAGGTAACTGAAGTGGAACACCACAGAAGCCCCAATTAGACAATACAGGGACCAGGAGCCAGCACTGTGGTCTGGTCGGGAAAACCGCCGCCTGTAATCCAGCAACGCACACGGGTACCAGCTTGTGTCCCGCAAGCTCCGCCGCAGATGCAACTGGCTGCCGGTGGCCTGGGACAGCAGCCAGCATGGCCCAAGGGCTTAACTGCTACCAGTACGGCACCTCCCTGCCATGGCCGGGCCCAGTTCCAACTGCTGCACCTAACCAAGGAGCGAACCAGGAGATGGACGATTTCTGTCTCTCCTCTCTCTATAGCTTTGCCTTTCAAATAAACAATCTTAAAGCAAAAACAGAAAAATGGGGAAAAAATCAAAGAGACAGATGGACAACACTGCAGGACAGGTGGTCATAATCCCTGCCAGAGAGTATTCAGTGACCCACAGAACACCCAGGACACCGTGACTCCAAGGCACACGGCAGCAGTGTCCCAGCGGGGGCCTTTACGACAGCCAAGGAATCCCAGAGCTCTCCGCTGCGGGAATGGGACAGCAGAGCTGGAACAAGGACCGGTGCACCTTCTCAGAGCTTCTGAGGACTGTTACCCAAGCAGGGTGAAACAGGAGGACTCCACACATCACACCAACAAGAGACCTCCAGGAGGACACGGCCACCAACGCGCTCCAGAGAAAATGGCTTGTTTTAGCTTCTTACTTGGTGAAAGAGGTTGAGGCCAGGCAAGAATCAACAGCTGTGCCATCCAATCAGTGGCCCACTGCCTGGATGGCAGCAGCAGTTGGGTGGCCGGACCAAAGCAGGGAGACAGGAAGGCCATCTGGGTCCCCCACACTGGTGGCAGCAACCTAAGTACTTGAGTTGTCACTGCTTACTCCTGGCTGTACATTAGCAGGAGCTGGAACTCCAATCCAGGCCCTTCACAATGGGACGCGCTGATCCTGAGAGAGGCAGAACATCTACCAGTCACCCAGATAAGTTTCCATGCCAGCTCAAATAGGGCTTTGCCTGAAAGCCATCAGGAAAAAATCGACAAACACAACTACAGCCATCATCTGCTTTACTAGGTTAACGGATAAAACAAGCTTACATACTTAATATTCATTTCTCTTGAACAGAGAAACAAATGCCCTACAGATGAACTGAGTTTCAATGAGCAACAACATGTTTCAATTTGAAGGGAAATGACAGGACAGAAAAATCTGTGCTCCTAAAACATCACACAGGCCAAAGCCGACCACGGGACCCGAGTCAGGATTTTCAGATAAAAATGACACCTGTAGGAAAACCGTGGACTTCACAAATCTTCAGTGCCATAAAGCAAAAGGCTACCAATCAACATTCTAGAACACACATGTGCTTACCTTCTCCGTGGGGACCTGCTTCTTCTTCTTGGAGACCTACTGCGCCGCAGTGGGGAGCGAGACCGCCTTCTGATGGGAGACCTGCTTCTCCTTCGCGTCGGGGACCATCTGTTGATGGGGCTGACATCCTTGGATCTCTCCCGTCTACTGAGGACATCATCTCGTGGGCGTGTCCTTAACGGGATCCAACGCAAGTTAATACAAAAATAAATGAGACCACTCTACACGTAAGGAACACCTCAGGTGGTACTCACTGGCCACGTCTGTATCACAACTTAAGACTCCATGACATTTTGCTGCTCTCTTGGGGCCAGAACGGAAGGCCTATCCCCTTGATCTCACAGTCTGAGTAACTATGAAAAGCCACCTATTCTCATTTCAGTGATTACAAAGCTGCCCAATACTATTCCTTCAGTCTCAAGTTCTCTTCTCTACACCTTGAAATGTCTACAAGTGCGTGTTCCAACCTCTCCTGTTCACCGCCACCGTACACAGTTCCCACGGGGTTTCATGCTTCCTTAATGTGCTTTTTATCACTTGATTTTTAAGAACAGGTCTTCAACATTTCTTACTTTCTAATTGGTACAGGACACACAATCTCAACAGGTCAAATAAATGACAGGATGTTATAATCCCTGTCCCACACACTGAAAGCGTAAAAACAGAATCTGCTTTACAACTTGGATGTGGCCTAGGAAAAGCACAGCACCCCTCTGACACGGCTGATTAACTCACACTGAGAAGCACTTCCTGGGAGGGTCTCCTGAGGAAATTCCTCTCAGTACACCATGTGAGCCTTCTCAAAGGCCACAGAACGCCGTACCGTGATGGAATAAAGGACTGTCCAGAGCATGGAGTGTCACTGCAGGATAAAGGCCCCAGTTCTTAGTGAGGCAGTGACAATCCCGCCCAAGAGCTCAGCCCTTTTTTCTTCCAAGAGCTCCTTTCTCATATTTGCTTAGATGGGACAATGGCTGTGTGTGACACTAGCAGCCCATTCCTTCCATCTAACCTTGATTTGTACTCATGATTCAATCTTGTTTTATCCCATGCCACACTTCTCTCAGCCTCCAATACTGATTATTCTATGTTTAAATACACACACAGAGGCCCCACATCTAAGGCTAACATCCTGACAATGTCTACCAGCTCCAAGCATTTCTGCTGCCAAAGATAGGGCCTCTTTACAGCCAAAGAGCCGTGTGTGTGTGTGTATTTGTGCGCGCGCATATATATCTCATTTTCCTCATCTATTCACCCAGTGAGGGACACCAGGGCTCGGGCATCTCAGCTGTCCTGAGTAGTGTTACAACAGCCATGGTAAAGAATGTGCTGTTTTGCTACAACGATTCCATGTGTTTTGGATACATACACAAACAGGGAAGCTGCCAGCCACACAGCAGTTCCGGCTGAAGCTTTTAAAGGACTCTTCACTCTAGTTTTTCCAAGGGACTGCATTCATCTCTCCCTTTCACCAGCATTTTGTCCTTGGGATAACAGTCATTCCAACAGCAGTGAGGTGGCTTTGATTTCCATTTCCTTAATGGCTGGAAGAGCACTTTTTAATGTATTTGCTGGCTATTAGTACTTATTTTTGTTTCCCTAAAAAGGGTGACAAAATAGTATTGCATGGATCTAGCTGATAATGGTCTGGCAGCCAGCTTCTGCCATGTGAATGTTTATCCTACAGACTTGGCCAGTCCGCTTCTTGAATCTAGAAGGAACCACACACAGCTTGGGACATTTGTGAATTTCAATGTAAAGAACTGAAATGCAAAAGACTTACATTTGCATCAATTTCAAAACAGGAATGGTTAATTATGTTACATCTATTACGTTTCAATATCATGTTGCTTTTATAAAGAATGAAAAAGAATCTATATGTACTGCCATGAGTATTTTATGAAAAAAGCAAGCTACTTACTAACATGAGTTAATCAGACTCAGTAAGAAAACAGTGTGTATTACTTGGATTTCCTTTTGTACCGTTGCCGGAATTAAAAATAAATTGCATCAAATACCGAACTCTAGTCCTTAATAAACTCTTCAGAATTTTCTCTCCCAACTCCAAGTCTGCTAGATAATTAAGAAATATGTTGGAATATCTCCTAAGACAGCCCTTTGAAAACAACATGTTTGAATTTTCTGATAAGATGTAGATTTCAAGGTCAACTTATATTTTGACCTTTACACTGAAATTATGAACATGAATACACTAAATGGCTAGGACTTTGTAACATCTTACTATTGTATAAATCAACATCATCAAAATTAGGCTGATAATTTTATAGGAGATATTCCCCAAAGTAATGTGCACTGGTGTAAGGGACACTCGGCTGCAGTCCCAGGATTCTGGTCAACCGTGGCTTCGGACTCCCGCACCTACACTCAGAGCCGAAGCCCAGCAACGCACGAGTCACGCTAGCCCCATGAAGATACAGCAGAAGCGACACTCCGCCTGCTACGAAGTACCATCACCACTGATGAAAACCAAGCCATTTCTCACGCTAGCCTCCCTCAATGGTGGGATGCTGCGCTTCCCATTAATGAGATAATCCTGAGAACTGGGAACTAAAAGGTTTTAATATGGGTACCGGTTCCAATTCATAGTGTTTTGATCCAAAATCACACCAAAACAAGAGAAAGGCCAGATCATCTTTAAACACCTCATTTTCTTCCTTGTGAATCTGTTTTCACCTATATTGTTAAATGAGTAATTCATGGGATTGTGTGGCCTGAAAGGATCGACCCAGCAAATCAGACACTAAATCAAGAACTGTCATCAAGTTCAGCAGCTGTAAACTACTCTCAATGCTATAAATAATAGCTGGCAAACTAGGTTATGTTTAAAACTATAAATTCATTTCCACCTCATTGTGAGTTCCAGTTTCCCCTTTGAACTGTGGCGCACTGGTAAAGAAGCAAGACCACTGGGGAGCCAGGTTACCTGGGAGAAGACAGCCGCCTCCGGTCGGGTTCTCTCCGCTTCCTGTCCAGGGACCGGCTGCGCGCTCTCCTCCCGGGGGACAGGGTGCGCGAGGGGGACTTGCTGTGCTTGGACCCCCTGTCGGCGGTGAGCGGAGACCTGCTTCTCCTCGATCTATCCCGCAGTCTCGGGGACAAACTCCTTCTTTTGGGACTGCGACCAGGCCTCCTGCCGGGTGACCTGTTCTCCTTGCCGGAAGAGGCGTCCTTAGAGGGCGATTTGATTGGCTTCTTCTCTTTGTCCGTCTCAGAACGCCTTGCTTTTCTCTCTTTGGACCTTGACCTTCTGTCTTTGGATTTATCTCGGAAGTCAACTGGGGACCGGGACCTTTTACCCCGATCACGACTCCTCTCATTTAACACTGGGGATTTTTTCCTGTCTTTTGATTTGTTTCTGTCTTCAAGTTTCAGCTTCTCTTCGGGAGGCGATCTGGCCTTGCCACTTTTCTCCTGAGACCGCCTTCGCAGGGGGGGAGAGCGCGACTTCCTGGCCAGGTCCTGAGCCTTGCCCCCTCTGCAAGGACTTTTGGACTTTTTCCTTTCTTTTGACTTGCTCCTTGCCGCTTTGTCCTTAACCACTTCCATCCCTGTCTTACTTTTCTTTTTGTCCGACCTGTGTCTAGTCCGTTCTTTGGATCTGCTTTTACTTCGTTTTTTTGTACTGTTTTTATTGTCCCCAAGTTCAAGTTTCCCCTTTGTACTTGAAGATCTGGTACTAGACCTGTTCCCGTTCCTCACCTTTTCGTGAATCTCGCCCTCCTCTTCGGAGCCAGACTCATAGCCCTGCAGGATGAGCCCCATCCCCGACTGCACCTTCCCCTCCAGCAACTCGTTATCCAGCTCGGCTTTGATCAAGGCCCGCTGCTTCTCCAGGTCTTCCAGCAGAGCCAGGTCGTCCAGCTTGGTTCGCTTGGCCGGAGACAGGCCCTCCCTGTCCGAGGCGTCGGCCGCCTCCCTCCGCTTGTGCTTCTTGTGCTTGCGCCTGTGCCGGTGCTTTCTGTCCTTGTTGTCGTCCTCCGAGCAGTGTTTATGCTTCTTGTGTTTACTTCTGTGTTTATGCTTCTTTTTTTTATGCCGACTGTGTTTATTTTGGGATTGGTCTTCTGATACTTCTCCATTTTCTTCATTTACACTCTTTTCAGAATTATCAGCATCCTCCATCCTATAAATAAGCAACTCATTTTAAAATCACATTTATCAAATTCTCAGAACAGTAATGATAAATACAATTATATGCAACACATGAAATGACTAAAAAGGAATCCAAATTGAGCATAGTTAAAACAATCAGAATTTGATTTCCCATCCTTAATAACAAATGCTCCCCAAAGGGAAGACGAAATCATCCACTTGAAATTTAAAAATCTGATCTATCTGGGTCATTTGTCAAGAGCAAATTTTTTTCACATTAGAAAAAATCTAGGGCCCGGTGCAGGGGCCTAGTGCCTAGGGTCCTCGCCTCGCAGGCGGGAGGATTTCAGAGGGTGTCGGTTTGTAGCCCAGCCGTCCACCTCCCACCCAGCTCCCTGCCTCCGGCCTGGCTATGGACTGCCTCAGCACCAGCAGCTGAAGCACTTGGGGAGTGAAACAGTGGATGGAAGATCTCTTTCCCCTTCTCTGTATAAATCTTACTTTCCAATTTTAAAAAATGAAATAGTAATAATAAATCTTAAAAAAAAAAATCCTGTAGAGACTGGTGTAATAGCTCATCAAACTAATCCTCCACCTCCAAGTACCAGCATCCCCTATGAGCACAGGTTCATGTCCCGGCTGCACGCTTCCCATCCAGCTCACTGCCTGTGGCCTGGGAAAGCAGTGGAGGACGGCCCAAGGCCTTGGACCTGGATGCATGTGGGAGACCTGGAGGGCAAGCTCCTGTTTCCTGACTTGCTCAGTCCCAGCTGCTGCAGCCATTTGGAGAGTGAACCAGAGGATGGAAAATCTTTCTGTGTCTGTCCTTCTCGCTGTGAATCTGCCTTTCCATAGAAATAAACCTTCAAAACAAAGATACTCCTCTAAAATCAACACTGACCCACACACCAAGGGGTAAAACTGCAAGGAGTTCAAAGAAGGCTTGCAAGTGACACCAAGCAACCACATGACGTCAGCTTGCACCAAACAGAAGGACTTTCTCTAGGTCAATTAACAGCCTAGCATCAGCCATTTCATTAGTTCAGCCCAATAACTGTTCAGTAAATTATTTAATCCCTCTGAATTTCAAATGAGAAATTAGCTTCCAAAAATGTGTAGTTAGTAGGTACTATGCTGAAACGATTAAGGGCTGGGGAGCTTGTTCTGCTCAGTTCATGAGTTATCAAGTAATTCAATACAGGCAACTGCAGGTCCAATCACATTTCAGATACGCCTCGATCTGTGGTGGGGTTTCACAACAAAAGACCTGCATGAAGCTGGAAGAGGTTGAAACACTGTGCCAGGCACTCAGCTCAGCCTCCTGAGCATCACCGCTCAGCAACGCAGTATCTAACTTCTCCCTTTAACTGTTTCAGAATCAATCAGCACATCTTAGAATATGAAATCAAAGTTTTAATTAACTGGATTCAGGCCATAAATCACACTGAGAGAAAAACATGGTCTATTTCATTAGTGCTTCAAATTACACACTCCACTACTGCTTAGTGAATGTGCTATTCCTGCCATCAGCTTCAGTCCCTGGCAAGGTAAGAATTCCTGAGCCTGTATTTGCCAAACTGTTGAATTTCAGAGTTTTTTAAAGACACCTACTACATGTGGACATTAAGTCAAGTGGCAGGAAAGTGCATGTGTCCTAGGCCAATTCCCTCTTCCTCCAAGGAAACTGCGGTCCGGCAGAAAGAAAACTACAAAATGACTAAAACACGGGAGAAACACAGGACAAGATTTTGGAGTGATCAGGAAAGGGGTTGTGCAGATCACAGAAGAAAAATCCAGCTTACTCGTTAAACTCAACTTTTCTGCGGGGAGAGCGAACGACAGGAGGGTTAATATTAACGTAACACTGCACTGGAGAACAGGACACTGACAGGAGGAAGCGGGTGCCCCAGGTCAGAGTTTGAGACAGCCAACTCCAAGCAGAGGAATGCCACCAGAGTACCAAGCTGTGGGATAAATTAACGGAGGGCAAGATTCCAAATGGATCGATTCTAACAGATGACAAAACACGGAAGCAGCTCTGGGAGGGACAATCTGAGGTCCCTTGGAGTCACAGCAGCCCAGGAGCAGCAAGGCTGGACTGTAATGACACCTGTGTTCTAAGGCTCTTGCCAGCTGTCAGGCTCCAATAACCTTGACAAAACCCATGAGAAATGACAGGATAAACATGGGAATGCAGAGAACACCCAGCTACAGGGCAGCCTGCCCACCCTGACCTGGAACTACAGACCAGCGAAAAGGACCACAAGGGCAGTGTGGAGAAAGCTGTGCCTGGTCAAAGCTGGGCCTCCATGAGGAGCAGGAGAAGACACACAAAACAGCTGTGTCTTCTAGGATCACCATTTCTTTTAAAACAGATGAAAAATGGTAATATTTCTGCATTTAAAAAACTGGGGGGTGCAGGGGCGCTGTTGTGTAGTGTGTTAATCCTCCACCAGTGGCTCCAGCACCCCATCTGGGCACACCTCAACCGCTCCACTTCCGATCCAGCTGCTTCCTTGTGGCCTGGGCAAACCGTGGAGGACAGTCCAAGTCCCTGGTCCCCTGCACCCACATGGCAGACCTACAGGAAGCTCCTGGCTTCTGATCAGACTGGCTCCGCTCTGGCCATGGTGGCCAGTGGGGAGTGAACCAGTGAAGATCTGCCCCTCCTTCTCGAACTCTTTCAAGAAAAACAAATCAAAAAAAAAAAAAAGGCAGGCAATGTGCAGGAGGCGAGGTCACTGCATGTCAGAGCGGCATCTCAGGGCGCCAGTTCAAGTCCTGCCCACCATGCTTCCGCTGTAGCTTCCTGCTCCCCGGCCAGCAGGCAGCAGATGATGGCAAGCACTCGGCCCCTGCTACCCAGGGAGGCAGGCCGGGGGCTCTTGGTTTCGGCCTGGCTTGCACATGGTGCGTGTGGCCATTTGGAACTGAACCAGTGAGGAGCACAAACCTCCACACATCCCTCTTTCTGTCATTCTGCCTTCCAAATCAAGACATCTTAAAAACAAAACAAACCCACAGATAGAAGACAAAGACACCTCAACTTCACTGGTAAACTTTGCTCACACAAGTAATTACCCCCTTCCCTGAAATCCAGAAGATAGTGCATGTCCCATTTCCCTCTAGCCCTCGGCTTCCAGTCAATTCAGGCCAACAGAAGACGGGCAGAGGGAACCTGGTAAAATATCGAACATGAATCTTAGTCATGTAAAAACCTCAGTGCCCAAAATACAACATCATACTCACGCAGCTAAACCCAAGCAAGCCCCTACGTGCTGAGTGCCCAAGCTGTCCCCAGAAGCACCTGTCACCAACGATGTGCTCTTGGCAAGTTCATCTACAAAGAGACTACAGTGACTGCCTGCAAGGTCCTGAGGCTCGCAGCAGCCAACAGCTGTGAAGTGCTTACCAAGAGCTAAGTGATCCCCCAGGAAGCGGGTTTGTGGTATTCCGTCAAAGCGCACGGCTTCCCCAGCACCCCAGGCAAGCCGTTTCCCTGTGCAAACAGCCCACAGATTTGCTGCGGTGCACATGAGCTCATGGCATACACGGCTGCCACATCAAGGGGTCCAGAAACGTCCACGCGACCCGCGGGTGCTGAAGAACAAGGAGGTGTCAGGGACACATCAAGTCAAGTCAGAATCCAAGCCAGCCAGGAACACTTTCCACCCAAAGATACCATTAAAATGGCCGCCTCTTCATGAAATCTGAGCTTGCGTCCCACCCCAAAGTACAAACACACTGCTTCATGAGCCCCGACTCTCTCCTCGCCATGCCAGCCGCCCAGCACTCGGTTCTGGCAGGAATGCTGCCCTAGGCACACACACTGTGGCTCCTTGCTGCCTACCTCATGTGTCTGCTGTGTGTTGCTTCACAACTCTCACCCACACACAGTCCCTCTCCACGGCAGTGGGCAGCACCTACACAAGCAGTGGCTGTAACAGAAGCACTGCGAGATCAAAAGTCTTATCTGTGTGTTCGTCCACTGCCCCAATCCCAGAGCACAGACGAGCCAGCCTGTAGTGGGTTAAACAACCGTCTAGAGGATCTCCACAAACATTGCACTCATCGAGAGCTCGCAGACCAGCCCCGAGGGGTCTCTGCTCAGCGCCTCAGGGTGCACAGGACTCAGCACATCCCCATTCACAGGGTGTGCAATAACCACAATTTATGTTCAAATCACCTCTTGCTAAAAAAAAATAAAATAAAAATAAAATCTGGTTTTTGAAACCTTAATTTGTCTGACACTTTCTAAGGACAATCTGTAAGTTTTAGAAGTTTCTATTTAAAATATTTAAATTGTTTATAGAGAAAATGATGTCCTTCTGAAGCAATCCCTAGTCCCTAAGAGCTGGGAGCAGGAGTTTCGCCAGGATCCCAGCTCTGCCTGAGCACAGAGGAGGTTAAGGGATAGACTCCACTTCTGATCACTCTGCCTGAGCAGCTCAGAGACAAGCGGGTCAGCCGTAACAGTGCCAGCGCCCCCTCGGCAGGGATAGGCAGGGAGCAAGACTTCCCCTCTCCCCTGCTATCTCTCGAAGCCAATTCATAGAAAGCCACAGCTGACACCTGACCAGGTGAATCAGGAAGACACGAATGGCAGAGCACATTACAACGACCTGCTGGGAAAGGCAGCTACAGTCTTGGTTTATGAAGAACTTTCTAACCTGAATGAATGCAACAGGAGACCACCATGCTGACACAACAAACCACCTTGCCCGGGGCCAGCGGTGCTGTGATGCAGCAGGCAGCGCCAGGGCCTGCAGTGGACACTGGCACAAGTTCAAACCCTGGATCCATCTTAATGGAACAGAAAAAGTAGCAGAAAATGACCCACATGCTGGCCCAGGGAAACCACATGGGCAAGCAGCAACAGCATCTGAGCAGCCCAGCTCTGCTCCCAGGCGTGGGGAGTGCGCCAGGTCAGACAGCTCTCTGTCTCACCCCATCTAACTGTGCCTTTCAAATAAATAAATCAATGTGAAATAAGTGCCCTCCTTTCAAAACTTTCGGAAAAGGTTAAACCTGATGTCCTATTTAGGCGCTTCTATTGACACACAAAGTATATAATTTATATGTGCATAAATCTACTCTTGCAACAGTTGCATCTACAATTTGGCCCTGCGCATTTAGCAGAAAGATGTAGACTCCAGCTCGGTCTACACCAAGTCTGTCCTACAACAAGTATTTATTGAGACTACTAAGTGCTAGGCAGCATCTTGGAATCACTGGGAGCAGAGCTGGACAGGAAGCTTTCAGACAACACCAGACGTGCAACAGAATTGGTGCACTTGCGAAGCATTACCTTTTAGACAGTCAGATTGCGGGGCTTCGACCCTGAAACAGCTGTCAGTGTTGCTTCAGCTTCCCCTTCAGCTATCCTCCCAAAGAACAGCCATGCTGAATCTGACCGGGAAACGCTGGGTTGGAGCACTCACTACCTCCGGTTTGCGTACGAGGCCGGTTACAAGCTATATACAACTCTGACATAACTGAATGGTGAGGATGGCCTTGCTCTGCAAGGGCAGTGGTGAACTGCCTGTGGCAATTACAACACTTTAAACACACAGTTAAAACCAAGGCGGACGGAAGAATGAGTCCAAAATTCATCTTCAAAGAGACCTCCGCTCTGTCCGCATTTTTTCCAAATCAGGTTAGGAAATGACAGCTTCCCTTAAGCAGAAATGTCCTGCACCCCCCTAAAGGCCCTTTCTAGGGCGCCCAATAGGAGAATGGCCTCTACCTTACAGATACTCATTTTGTTTACTTGAGTGGGAGGTAGAGGAAGCTGGGAAACCTCTACCCACCAGTTCACTCTCCACACTGCGACAGCCAAGGCCAGGCTGGGCCAGAGGCTAGGCGCCACGAGGGCAGAAGACGCACAGCCCAGAGCCATCACACCTGCCGCGTGCCAGGGCGTGCCGCCGTGACTCATACCCACCGAGCTGCTGCAGAGCTGCTGCAGGTGTCCGACAGCAGCTGCACCCAATGCAGTAAGTCAGCGGAAACAGACTTGCAGCGGGAGTAGCAACTTTGCCCCAAGTTACTTAGTTTCTATGTCTGAAGTTACTTAATTGCTGTGTTTTTAGTTTCATCAATAACTGAATCTACTTCCGCTAGGCTCATTAAGAGAGCAATAGACGGGAGGGTCAGAGAAAGACTTTTCATAGGCTCCCGCTTCATGCCCCAAATGACCTCCACAGATAAAGCCCGGCCAGAGGGCTCAGCCTTCAGCAACCAGCACAGGCCGAGGGTCTCCCTGGCTCTCCAGCAACGTGCCCGGCTTCACCTACCGCCCACACACAGAACTTTTCCTTCACCTTTACTCTACGAAATTTCTACTTTGCAAAGATTTATATAATTGTGATTCCTCAGTGTCTAGAACTGCCTGGACTATATTCGAGCACTCGTGATGAGCAGCATGCTGTCCATGGCAAGCTCTTTGAATATTTTCAAATGTGCCAAACGGGGGCACCGAGACGGCCAAATACCCGCTTCACACCCACTTGTTTTCCAGGTAAGTCGAACTGTGAAAACACTAGAGCAGCTTTCCAAAACCCTGCGTGAAGAACAGGGCATCACCCTGAATAAAGTGGATCACCGAGCAGCCCAGAGCGGAAGGCACGCGATGAAGTGTCACAGCTATTTGCAGAGAGCTGTCCTCTGGTCGCGACAGCGCAGGTGCAGCAGACCCCGGCTGCACACGCAACTGCCTTCAAAGCCCACTCTGCCGTCCAGCTGCTTTTTTTCAATTCTTCCAGCACAGACATGAAAAGCAGGCAAGAGAACCGTTCTCCGTGAAGCCACGGGGCGAGCCGGGGCAGCCCGAGCCGGTGTTCCACTTGGCCGCGTGGATTCTTCCATCAGCTTTAATTACAGACAGAGTGGTCCGGTTTGGGAGACAGCCTAACAATTCCCACTTGCACATCCCCCGTCCTGCTAAATACAGAACCGCGGCCAGGCTTTGCCAGGCCTTGAAAACTCAGAGAAAAGATTCTAGCTCAACTTTGCCGCAACTTTGCAAGTTGGCAAATAAGCAAGCAACCAATGGGGGGAGGGGGAAAACTAAAAAAAGAAAGAAAGAAAGAAAAAAGGTGGCCAAGCGAGACGGGGCGGGAGAAGAGTACGGAATACCTGGCCCACCACCCGCCCCCCAAGACTCACTCTGCACCCCTTCTCCTTCAGGGCCAAGGCGGATCAGGTCGCGGCCCGGCCGGGGGTGCTCCGCCTGCCGCCCTCGGGGGGTCCCCCGGCACCCCGGGAGCTCCGCCCGTCCGCTCCTCCCCCGCCGCAGGGCCGAATGGCAAGGCGCCTCCGCGGCCGGGGCCACGCGCTCCGCACCGGGGGAGGCCGCTCGCGCCGCCGGCCCCCGGGGCCGCCCCGGCTCCCAGGCCGCCCGCCGGCCCGGAAAGGCAAAGTTTGGCTCTCGCCATCGCGGCCTCAACTTTGCCGCCAGCCCGACCGCCGCAGGTCCCCGCCGCTTCCCGGCCTCGCGGACACACACGCGCCCGCGCGCTACTCACTCGGGCTGGTCCCGCAGCGCCGGAGCCTCCGCGGCCGCCATCTTGAACTTCCTGACTCGGCCGCGGCGCCCCGGACGGCGGAGAGCGAGTCAGGCGGGGGACGACGGGAGCGCGCCGCCGCGCAGGCGCACGCGGCTCGGCGGCGGGCGGGGAAGCGCGGCGAGGCCGGATGCAAAACCCTACATCCGGGGACGCGGCCTCCGGCGCGCCGTGACGCCACTTCTGGAAGGTGGAGCCCGGCGGGCGAGGACCCGGAAGTCCCCGCTGAGGCTTCGCGTTCGATTGCCAACCAGCACGGGCCGACGCGGGGAAGGACACGGCCAAGGTGCCGCTCGGGCTCTGCGGCCCGGAAGGAGGACGGCCCCGCGGAGGTGCCCGCCCCCGGAAGGGGCGGGCTCTGCCGCTCGGGAGGATGCGCACGCGCGGTGTGCGTCCCCGCGCGCTCCGCGGCCGGCTGAGGGCTGAGCGCGCAGGCTGGCGGCCGGCCGACCCCTCGGTAGCTGCGTGTCCCGCGTCTGCCGACTGCAGGGCTGCCCTCCGAGCCGGGAGCTCGCGTGCGTCTGGGGAGACCTCCCCGCCGCGCCCCGGCCCGGACTGTGCCTTTTGTCCCCCCGCTCCCTGGCTCCCTGTGACCCTGCTGGTGCAGCGATGCCAGCGTGCTGTGGAGGGCGCAGCAGGAAGCCGGGCGGGTCGGCAGTCCCGGCCTGCTGCTCCCTAGGGTTACGGTTGGGGGTGCAGCTGACCTGCTGGCCCTGCGTCCGGCGCGGGGCGAGGGGTCTGCACACGGCGGGTGCACCCTCGGAACTTGGGGAGCCGTGCACCGCGCTGTAGGTGCGCGTGCTGGGGCGTGCTCCTCGCGCGTGCGCCTGCCTCTCGCGTCTGCAACTTTATTTCCAGGTTTTTTATGCACTTGCGAGTAAGGGATTTGGTCCACAGCTCTTTACGTGCCTTCATTGCATAAGTAACATACGCATTAGAAACTGTTTTTTTTTTTTTTTTTGCAACAGAAGATTAAAATTCCCTGTAATCCTACTGCCCGTAAGTAATTGTTTGCCTTTGGAATACCGTTTGTCATCACGTGTCTGTGTGTGTGTAAGTTTATTTGCTTTAGTTGAAAGAATTGCAGAGACCACACTCTTCGGTGGTGCTGGTTCACTCCCCAAATGGCCACAGCGGCTGGAGCTGGGCTGGTCAGGAGCCTTTTCCAGGTTGTCCACGCGGGTGCAGGGTCCCGAGGCCCTCCTCTACCGATGTCCCAGGCCACAAGCAGGGTGCTGCGTGGGAAACGGGGCAGAGGGACTTGAAGGGTGCCCTCACGGGATGCTGGGGTCTCAAGAAGGGGTTGACCTTGCTATGCCCCCGTGTCAGCCCCTTGGCTCATCTTTAAAAGTTGTTATTAGAAATGTGGTTTGATTTTCTTTTCTAGGACAGTAAAGCTAGGATGCGAAGAGCTACTGCAGGCGTGCCTGCTCGGAGGGGTGCAGTGGCCCCTTTAACCGAGTCTGGGTGGGTGCACAGGGAGCTGTCTCCCTCGGCCCACGTGCGGGGTGCTTCTGTCCAGCGGGAGTTCTGGGCAGAGCTGAACTGTCCTCTGCCCTTCGTGTCCTCTCTGAAGGGGCAGGCCTGTCTGTCTAGAGGGGTGGTGGTGGTGTGGCCACACGGGTGCCTTCCTGGTCGTGGATCCTGGCACAGGAGGCCGGCGCTCGCTGACCCCTGCAGGTCACTCGGTCTCGGGGCTGCTTCCCCTTTAATCTGACCAGCTCTGCCTTGGGAGCCGGACCCACGCGGCGGCCGTGCTGTCGGAGCTGCGGCTTTGTCTGCGCCTTCTTGTTTTCTTAGTTCTTTTCTGTCCCTCTGCTGTACCTCTCACATACAGTGGCTGTATTGCAGCATCTCAATTCTTCAGCAGCGACTTTCCCCCGCTTGTTCTCTTAGTGCTTATTCCGGGCTCACCGTGTGGAAGCGGTCTCCAGTACACATTATCTTGTCATTGTGGAACCAGCTTTAGCTTTGCATTAACTTACAGTGAGATGCAGAAACCTTTCAATATGGTGTGATTTAATTTTCTTGCTTTTTTAGTATTATATGTGTCGCTATAAATGTTTCAAAGAATACTTTATTATAATGATTATATCTTTGAAGCATATATTTATCGCTTTTGTCATATAAAACGTGTAGGAGGACATTGTGACCCTAGAAGGTCAGCGAGCACAGGATTACAGCTGATTGGACAATATTTGCATGAGAACAACCGAATGGCTACCTTTTCTATACCTGATTGGATACCATTTGTATAAGAACAGCTGAGTGGACAGTATGTGTGTGAGAACACTTGGCGGGATATACAAGACAAAGGCGTTCCAAACAAAAGCATAGAAACAGTTGATGGGTTTTGTTGATGAGCTCAATACCTCCTCCCTTATCCCATAGGACCCTCTGTGTATAAAATCCGATGGCACTAATAAACTTCGGCTTTGACATCAGTCAGGGTCCACGCATGTTATTATTGGCTCCGTGCACCAAGTCCATCCTTGCTGGACAGCGACAAAAACTCATTTGTCATTATTTCAGGTTCTGTTTCTTTGTTACTTTTGTAGATTTCAGTTACCACTCAGAGTAATTTGTTTAATTCAATAGTTTTACTCCTACTCAGGCTCTTGGTACTGTTGCTAGCAAATGTATTTGTATGTGTTATAGGTTCAACATTTATACAAAGTATTAGATTATATGAAGTGCTTTTTTCTTTTTTTTCTCTCTCTCTCTTTTAAAGATGTATTTACTTATTTGAAAGAGAGACTTCCCATCTGCAGGATGGTCACGATGACCAGCGCTAGGTCCGGTCCGAGCCAGCAGTTTGTGTTGGGTGTCCCGTGTGGGTGCTGGTGTCCAGGCACTCGGGCCGTCCTCCACTGGCTTCCAGGCCTTTGGTAGGGAGCTGGTCACAAATGGAGCAGCCCAGACTTGAACCAGCACCCATGAGGGCAGTCAGTGCTGAACCAGTCCAAAGCCAGGAGTCTCTTCCAGGTCTCCCATGCGGGTGCAGGGTCCCAAGGCTTTGGGCTGTTGTCAGTTGCTTTCCCAGGCCACAAGCAGGGAGCTGGATGGGGAGTGGAGCTGCCAGGATTAGAGCCGGCGCCCATATGGGTTCGTGGGAGCATTCAAGGTGAGGACTTTAGTCGCTAGGCTACCGCGCTGGACCAAGTGTGTGTTGTTAAGACAACTTTATGGGGTATAATTTACATCTCAGCCATTTTAATATGCATCTCAGTGATTCTTAGGGAATTGACACAGCTGTCAGGCGTAGCAGTGTGTCTGCAGCTTTACTGAGACACTGAGGACAGTAACTGGGAGGTTTTGTTTCACACTGTGGATGAGTGTCGAGCTGACCTATGGCCTCTGATGGGGACACTGGGTGTACTCGGACAATCGCCCCCCTGGCCCGCCTGTAATGCACCACCACAAGGCGGCAAAGCCCGAGTTTGCAGAACTTGACTCTTAGAACTGCAAGCTTGTATCCCCTGCACTCAGCCCCACCTCTCAGACCCTGGTAACCAGTGTTTGTTTTGTTTTAAAGAAGTTTTAAAACCTGATTTCTCATTTTGTTTGAGAAGCAGAGACCTCCCCTGCGCGGGTTCATCCGCAGCCTTTGGTTTGTGTGAGCCTCACGCCGTTTAGTGTAATGTCTTCATCCAGGTCAGGCCCACGAAGCTGTCTTCCTGTCTCTTCCTTATGTTGTAGTCTCTAAGCCAGGGACTGGGTTCTCGAACATTTTTGTTGTAGGACCGACCCCTCAGTAGCTTCAGAAATTATTGAAGAGCTTGTATTTGTATGCGTTACACCTGTTGATATTTGTTGTAGAGATTAAAATTGAGCAATTAAACAATATTTTAAAGTATCAGAAGCAGTTGTGAACATGTAGTATGTATTTTAATAAAAGGTTTCCACTGTGCTTGTACAGTCTTGAAATGTGTGGTTGCCTGTCGGAGTTGGATTATGAAGTCAGTTTTCTAAGTGTGTAAGAGTCTTGAAAAATTGCAAATTTGTGGTATATTGTTGCATCCACTCGACCACTAAAACAGAATGTTACATTCACCAGTGACAGTCACAACAAAGCTTTAATTACAACAAGGAGAGGCAAGACAACCGGCCAGCCTCGACCCTTACCTGAGCGCGGCCCCACAGGACCACTGGCAGGCTTTTTATGGGGGCAGTTTACAATAGCTTGTGGGGTGAGGGAGGTCAGGCCGCACGCTCCCTGCTTACCTGGGCTGGGCAGCCCCTGCCTGGCCCTTCTCCGGGCCCTGCTCCAGCCTGGGCGCCACCTGTGGGTTAATTAGGCGGGGGCCTTGATTCATGGGGTTGGGGGCCATCGGCACTAAAGGCCACGTGGGTCATTAGGCTGCGAGCTCACACAGTTTGTTAGCCAGGCAAGCAAAGCAGGAGTGTGGCAGTTAGCAGTGAGCTGTTTGCTCCATTCCGATTTCAGCCCTACAGTACACACGTCTCCATTCTTCACAGCATTCTTGGACAAAATAAAGAATAAAAACCTGTGGAATCATTTCTGCACGTCATCCGTTTTTGGTAGAATCTGCTTTAGAGAACACGTGGACCTCATGAAGGGACGCCTCGTTAACAAGCCGCTGTTACAAAGCACGTGTGAGGAGATGGGTCTGCCCTGGGCTGGGAGGGCTGGGGCAGAGGCCAGGACCTCTGCAGCCCCGGCCTGCTGGGAAGAGGAAGAGGCTTGGTTTTGTGTTTGGTTATTCCGAGTGGGGTGGCGTTGGACCTGAGGGACTGCTGAAGTTGCTGCAGGAGAGGGGGGCTGTGCTGCCCAATGTGGCTGCAAGGCAGCCCTGGGACCCTCCTGAGCGGACGAGGAGGAGTGCCAGTGTAGAATGGGCGCCTTTCCACCTACTGCAGATCTGTCCTTGGAGTGTTTGACCGACCGTGAGTAACATATGTCTTTACATTCGCTGTAGAGTTTGCTGCCTCGCTTTGCTATGGAGTGCCTGCCTGGTGCCAAACTCCGTTCCAGACATGGGAGAACAGAGGAAAGGTCCCGGCTCTGTTGTCACTTATCTCCTAGCTCATAGAAAACAGATGG